GGCCGGCACGGCTTGGGAAGGAGGGCGCGGGCCGACCCATCGACCCCCTAGGGGACCAGACTATGGCCACCACTAGCCTCGCCAACCGCTCCGCTAGCGTGTCGAGCGAACCTGACGCGACTTCGGACGGCTACGTGGGCGCCTCGCTGTGCTGGCGTTACGCCCGGATCAGCCTCGTAAGCGGCGAACGAGGCACGGTCGCTCTCCGACATGAGGCGCGTTGCACTTGCCAGTGCTGCCCTGGCCTTCTGTCTGCCCGCCCAATGGGTGGGAGGTGCCTCTGCTGCTATGGCATGCCTCACGGCTGCGACTGGCCGGCGCCTCGGCGCGTCAGCTCGGCTCGGCGTAGCGATAGTGGCCAGCGCAACTCGCCTGGACTCAACGCTCAGCCAGGAGCTCCCGCACGCGCTGGCGCGAGTCATGGCGCATGCAACGCGTCCGAATGCTCGCCTCGCCTCGCGCAAATGCGACCGTCCTCGCAGCCGACAGTCCACCGCCTGCTAAAGGAGCACTGCGACGAATGCCGGCACCGGCGACGCATGGCAGGCTGGTCATGACGCAGTCATAGGGCGTTGTGTGCCGTCAGAGTGACTCTCTGTGTGTCAGGGATAGTCAGGGCCGTCCATCAGAGCTCCAGTAAGCTCGGAGACACCCCATTAGTGCGACTCGGCCTCTTTGAGTCACTGCCTTCCCGGCGGTTTGGCTGTAGAGCCTCTACAACAAGCTCTACAACAAAATCGCGCTCTACATCGCTCTACAACGCAGGCGCATCGTCACGCGGCGGATGTAGAGCTCTACAGCTCTACAGCGCTCTACATCTCTACAACTCTACAGCGCTCTACACTCTACATCCTCTACACCCTCCCTCAGAGACCGGCCCGACCGGCGCACCCCGCGAAATTTCTTTTTGTTGCCTCGCCGTCGTCGAGGAGTCGCTGTGGCGGCTCCCGTGGTGTACCTGTGTTAGTGCCAGTGCGCGCCAGTCCCTTGCCTCGCGGGGAAAATTCTTTTTAATCGCAGTGGAATTGCCAGACTGCGCGTCACAAACTGCCTCGGATTGGCTGCTGGCACTCTCGAGGCTATGCCTACACAGCCTCGCGCGCATGGGCAGTCAAGAGGGACCACGCACGTTCTCACGACAGCACCAGTGCCTCTCTCTTGGACCGGCAAACGTGGTGGTCTCGTGTTACCAATGTGGGACCAGTGCGGCATCGCGCCATCGACAGCTCTGAACTGCGCCTCACCACTGACCGGGAATGCCGCTGAGTGGGTCAGCACCGGTCGCACATTGTGGCAGCAGTCAGCAGCGCATGTCTGATAGCTAGAGCAGCAGCGTCAGGGTCGCAGGGTCGGATCGTGTCAAGCCTCTCGCCCGGCCGGCCGCGTGCAGACGTCGGCCTGTCTGCTGTCTGCAGTGATCTGTCGGCGGTCAGTACGACCGATCAGGTTGGAGGTTTCTCATGATTGCGCCGGCGATGGACTGACCCAGCAGCTCAAGGGCTCGCACTCTCCTCACCACCACCGCGCGCGCGCTGCAGCAGGAGTGCCGCAGCCGCACTGCGACAATATGCCGCACTGCGACAATATGCCGCAGCTGCACCGCTTCTCCTGGACAGCCATCGAGTACTCGATGGTCCACTCCGAGGGCGCGGTCAGCACCGCGCCGGATCTCTTCTGAGAGCCGGCGCGGATCGCGGATGCGACTCAAGGCTCTGCCGGCGGGTCTGTGGCCTGGCGCCTGCCAGACTGCGGGTCCAAATACCCCGGCGCTCGCGCGCGCCACCGCCCCCGGCGCGGGGTGGGATATCAGTTCGTGAGTTCTGTGTCCCCGTCCCTGTGCTCCTCCTTCTTCTCCCGTGTCGGTCCCTGAGAACCCCACTATACAGCGCCACCTCGTGAGCTGTCCTGTGAGCTGTGTGTTGTGCGTCCAGCAGTCCGGACCCAGTGCTACGGCCGGTGACAGCGTGCCTCGTGTCGGCTCCCGAGCCAATCGTGTGCAGCGTGTGTGTGCGTGTGGGCCCGTCCTCCATGCTTGGAGGTGTGTAAGACTGACTGACTGACTGCAGTGGAAATTTCGACGAACCAACAAGAGGCCCACCAACTTCATCCTTCGACATGTCAATGGCCTCGACGCCTGAGGACTCCGAGGCGGAGGCGGAACGTGCCTCCGTACTCGACGCAGACGCCCTCTCCGCGGTGCTGCGGCTTCTCACTCTCCGGGCACAGCTGCGCGTGTCTGCGGTCTGCCGCACATGGCGCGAGGGCGCGATGCTGCACTTTGCGCATGAGCGCAACCTTGACGTGCGCACGGGCGGCGCTGCCATAGCGGGTCCATACGGCGTCCCGGGCGGAGCGGGCCGGCAGCGCGACGCGGACTACACGAAGCTTCTCACCGACGCCGCCCTCTCGCGGCTCGTGGCCCACCGGCCGCGGCTGGAGGCGCTGCTGCTGATGCAGTGCGCGCGGCTGACGGACGACGGGCTGGCGGCGCTGCACGGCTGCGCGTGCCTGCGGAGGCTGAACCTCGCAATGTGCACGGGTGTCACCGAGCGAGGCGTGGCGGCGCTGATCGACGCGCTGCCTGCGCTGGACGACCTCGAACTAGCTGGATGCTCTCGCGTGCGCCTTGACGTGCCCGCGCTCAGCGCAAAGTTTGAGCGGTTCGTCGAGCTGTCCGAGGACGCGGACGGCTTGGATGCCGTGCAGGGGTAGTCGCGTGCAGGTAGAGCGCGCGCTGCAGTCCACATAGACTTTTCTCCGCAGCGACGTCTCGTCTCACTTGGAGTGAGAGACTTGCCGCTCTCTCCGCCCGGTGCGGCGCGCGACGCGGTGTGGCACATTACCTGTGATTTAAACTGTGGCCAGATAAATCCAATAAATAAATACAACGGTCAAACTCTGAGACGAGATGGGATTCAGGGACATGCAGATAGGCCAGCAGCCAGTGGGACGAACGAGGGCCGCGACGGCGGCTTCAAGCGGGAGGGAGCGGAGACGGTGGGCAGCGTCCAGCGAGCGAAGTGGGTGAGACTGATGATGCTCCTTCGACTTAGGGAGCGGTTCAGCTGCTGGGCGGGCTTCAGGCTGGTGCTCACGCGAAAAGGAATCGACGCGATGTACAAAGCATACAAGAAGAGGAGAAAGAAGAGGAGGGACGCCAGTGATGACGAAACAGAAGCTACATGTAGCGCAGACGAGGGCAGGGCAGACCCGGGGACGGCGGAGTCGGAGCAGACGGCATCGGCCGCCGAGGAAACGTTGGGAAGAGGCACGAGGAGGGCGGCGACCTCGACCGACTATGGAGGACCCGTCACCAGACGACGCAGGGCAGACGACGGGGAGGCGGAGCAGACGCGCAGGGCGAGACGAGGGAGGGGGAGGGAGCAGGATGTTGCTGAGATCAGCAGGAGGATGTACGACGAGATTAGGAGCAGCAGGGACCCGAGGGACCATGTGGAAGACGGCTAGTGCTAGTCCCCCATCGGGAGGACGACCCCGGCTAGTCGCCGACCACACCCACAAAGAACCCTGCACAAAGACCGCGCAGGGCGCGGGGACCTGCTTCGTGTACGTGTTCCTTTTTACCCATCTCCTAGTAGAGGTGTCCGTTTTTATTTATTTATTTATTTAGGGACATGTACATGTGCATGCACATTGTGCATGCACAACATGCACATGTGTCCACGCCCCGCACGATCTTGGTGTGAGGGATCATGTGTCGTGCGCACTAAATAAAACACGCCCAGCTGTGCGCTGTGGCCTGTGCGCTCGAGCCTGTGCGCGACATGCCCCTTACCCTGAGAAGCCGCCGCAGAAACGAGGCGTTGTTCACCACACCGCGCTAGATCCAAGCCACGGAGCTCAGCAGAACATCGCGGCTTATCCCAGGAAGAGAGGCAGACGGTGAAGGTGTCACTACCACTGCGTCAGACCTTCTGACGCTTAGCCCCGTCACCGCCCTCACCGCCATCTCCTGCTGCCGTCTCGTCGGGCGGCGGCTTCTCGGCCGCCTCCCCGACCTCCGGCTCAGCCTTTGCGCTCTTCGTGCGCAGCGCAGCGCGCTCCTTTTGCGCTTTGAGCTTTGCGCTTTGCGCCGCGTCAGGCTTGTAGACCGTAATGAAGCGCCCACCCGCCTTTTTCGGGCCGCGGCTTTTGCAGGTCAGGTCGAGCTCGTAGCAAATGTCGTGCACCACCTTGCGCTCAGCCGCTGATAGCTCAGGAGGAAAGGCGAGCTCCGCCTCGCCGCTCTCGATGAACGTTCTGATTTCGGACGAGAATTTTGCAGCCTGCTCGGGATCGTTCCGCCCGCCATCGGCCACGTCCGTGCTGCTGGGCTGTGTGCTGCTGCTCTCCGCGACGCACATACTCTTCGGCGAAGTCCCCACGCTCAACTGCCCACGCTCGTCCTGGCGAGTACAGACGACGCCTCACTTTTTCACAGCCTTGCTATTGAGAAGAAAATACATCGTATGGCGCTGTGCGCTGGTCTGTGAGTTCACAGGGGGGGTTCCGTCTGCTTTTCGCTGCGCATGCTCGAGCCCCCGGCGAGGGCTTGTGCTGTGAATAACAGGCGGAGGGCCCAACTTGAGAATCGTGCTTTTTTGGTTAGGGACTAAGGCCCCAAATTACGTGTGAGTGTTAGAGTTGTTTGGTATTGCCAAAAATCTCTCTCTCTAAAGCGCGAAGGACTACTTATGGGTTAGGGACCGCGAGCGACAGGTTAGGGACCGATCGCCACCACTCACGCCAGCGGACGGCCACCATCGGTGTTTTTGGCTTCGCCACCGTCCAAAGCGTGCGCAATGCGCTCGCCGACATCGAGCGAGCTCGCCTGTCCGAGGAGCGGCTTGCTGTGCGGACGGCTTCTTGTGGCTCTCGTCGAGAGCGTTTTGCGTCCCGGCGGGTGGGAGAATGTGTCGTCTGATGTGTCACTGTGTACGTCATGTCAGTCTTGATAACAAGCACGGTCGATCCGTCAAGCGATACACTCGTCACGATCACGTTGAACGGCTTGCACGGAGCTCTGTGCCGGCACACAGGAAGAGCCGACGGCAAGAAGAGCTCGATGGGGAGCGAGAACCGCCAAAGGTGCTCACGGAGGTTTCGGAAGTCCGCCATGATGCGGTCAGATCCCCCCAGGCTTGACTGCGTAGGTCGCGGAACTCGTTGAGCAGTCTTTTCGGAAGATATCGAGGATTTTCGAGAGCCACCCGCTTGAGAGCGATTGAGCGCGTCACGGAGGACTCAGGTTACCCCTGAACCTCCTCTGACGGTTCTCGCTCCCCATCGAGCTCTTCTTGCCGTACGGCGGTCTCTTCCTGATGTGTGCCGTCACAGAGCTCCGTGCAAGCCGTCCAGCGTGACGTGACGAGTATATCGCTTTGACGGATCGACCGTGCTTGTTATCAAGACTGACATGACGTACACAGTGACACATCAAACGACACATGTTCTCCCACCCGCCGGGCCGCAAAACGCTCTCGACGAGAGCCACAAGAAGCCGTCCGCACAGCAAGCCGCTCGGTCGAACACGTTGCTCGCTCGATGCCGGCGAGCGCATGTCGCACGAGGTAGACGGTGGCGTAGCTAACATCACTGACGACGGAGCACATCATGTTGTGAGCCCGCCGCCCGGCGTCTGCAGGTCCTCGCACGCTGACCAAAGTGTGCCCTCAGCTGCAAAGGTGTCGACCCGCGTGGTGCCGGACGGGCACGCTGCGGCGCCGGGTGCGCGTGCGAGGACGAGGCGCAGGAGGAGGGATAATTTTAGCACCAAGCTCCCTCGCACGACGCTGGGCACGGGACTGTAGAGGGAGAACAGCGGCAGAGCGCGCGTCTGTCACAGACGGAGCAGCGACCGCGCCAGCGGTCGCTGCTCCGCCCCCCCCGTCGCGCGCGCCGCGCGCGCGCCGCCGCCGCCGCCGCCGCCGCCGCCCCCTCCTCGCCGTCTTCCCCACCCTACCCTCTGTTGCGCGCGCGCGCCCTGCGCTGCGCGCCCCCGCCCCCACCCCCGCCCCCGTTTTTGCCCCCGCTCCCACGCGCCCCTTCCCCGGTAGGTGTGCGTAGAAAGTGGAACCAATCGAGAGGTGGCAGAAGCCGCCGTGTGTGACACATATTGCGGCACGTGAGTGAGACACAGAGCCCCGGCAGCGCGGCGCGCAGCGCAACAGGCGTTTCAAACAGCAAACGGGACGGCCTGCGCAGCCTCTAACTATTTCCACTGGTTCGTCCTCCTCTGAGTCATCTTCCCCGTCCTCCTTCCGCTCAGCTCTTCGCTCGGTACGTTCGGTGTGGCTCACCCTCCATGCCGTGAACAGGCGCTTTACCCACCCTATATTCTTCTCTCGTTCCTCTGCCCGTGCCTTGGTCTTGTCGTTGTTTCGCACCCATGTCTGTATGGCAATCGAGGCTGCCTTCCCCACTACCTGTAGTTCACTCGTCACCTCTCCCGCGAGCTCCCTTCTCTTTCTTTCGGGTATGGAGTCCGTGAGTGCGGGTAGCGTGCAGGCAATCACGGGCGCTATTTTGTCGTACTCCTCTTCGGCGAGCGCCCCAAATCTAGACCCTTTCGCCTTTAAGGAGGCTGCCCTCGCCGCTAACGCGGGTATGGAACTGTCGGACCCCATTCTTTCTCAGTGTACGTACTTTTAGCTTACTGGGAGAAAAGGACTCTCTCTCTCTCTCAGTGTATGTAGCTCTTACGTTCATTCCCGATTCTTTCTGGGAGCACAAAGGGGGATTTCATTTTCGCGCGATCTCACAATCTCTGGTCCTTGAGACAGCCAGACCTCTCACTCAGTCGGAGCACATGCTTTCGCTCGGCCTGATCGCCGCGTCTGCTGGCACCGAGATCCGCTACAACGAGTACAGCGCGTCGCCCACCATCGGCAACGGCAACGGCGAAATTGACGGACCAGCGAGCGAGTTCGGCGCGATGGCAATCTTCATCGACAGAGTACGAACGCTAACACGCAAACTTGATGGCGAGCAGGAGGTGGTCTTTAAGCCAGACCAAGGCACTCCTCGCTCCCTCAACGCGCTCCGACCCGGCGTGCAGTTCAGCAATGGCGATGCCTTCAGCGAACCTAGCTGGGGCTTTCTATACAATTCGATGCCATTTGCGATGAGCTTCTCCGACATGCTCCTCTTCCTGTACAAGAAAGACGGCATCAATCTCGCACAGGGAATCCTCGACGCTCGCAACGGCACGCAAGTGGCCTTCCCGGTAGTCAGCAGCACGATGCAAGGCTCCGGCTACTTCCCAAAGCCACTTGGCAGGCCGCTCTGCCGCGAGGGCGACGCCGAGTGCCTCGCTCACGGCAATGGCATCGGGCTCGCTGGCCTTTGCACGTCGGGCTGGGAGATCCGATACCTCAACACCCCCGAAGACGTGCTCCGCAAGGCTTGCGACATGCTCGTTGGAGACGGGAACAACTTGAAGTTCTCCCCACCAACTGGAGGAGTGGCGCCTCTGAAGCTGATGCAGAACCGCTCCATCCAAGGCTTTGAGTTTGTCACCCCTGTGGACGACCTCCAAGAGTTCTTCCCAATCAACGCTGATCCATCGGTTCTGGACTGTGAGAACGAGCTCGATGACTGCACACAAAACATCGGCCAGATTGGAGCGCGCTATGCGCACTACCCTGGCTGGCACCAACCCTTCCTCTTCTCGTGGATGCACATCGACAAGAGCGTCTGGGAGGGGCTGAGCGAAGGGCAGCGCCTCGCCATCAAGTTCGCGGCGGGCCATTCTGTCAGCAAGAGCCACACGACGACCGAGTCGATGCAGTGCCAGGCCCTGCGGCAGATGATCGACTTCAACGAGAACACCTCCCAGCTCAACCGGGACGGCTCTGAGAGGGACGAGAGCGCTCGCATCACCGTTGTCCCGTGGCGCGAGGAGGACCTTGAGACGCTCAGGGAGGCAACCACGGCCCACATGGAGTCGCTCATGGGGCCGACGGGGGAGGCGAGGGAGTTTGCAATCGTCTACAAGGCGATGCACAAGGTGGCGGGCATCCCGGTTGCTCCGGGGGATCTCGGGCCGTTCCCCGGCGAGTCGTGCGCGCTGGAGTCCAGCTCCGCTTCTTGAGACGATGTGTAGAGAGGATCCTGAGAGGCATCCGGGCCGCGACCCCCTGAGATCGGAAGCACGACAGCGCAAGCGTGTGTCCGAGGTCCGTCGTCTCCGGCCGGTCGGTCTGCCTTAGGTCTCTGCACATTGGACACTGCGGGAAGTGCGCGTTCGCTCACATACAGTCCACCTCGAGGCTCGAGTGCGTGTTCGTGTGCAAAATGCCGTCTCTCTGTTCATTTTAGTCGACTTGCTGTCACCTTAAGCACTCGCACGCCCCGGCTGCGCTTGGCCCGCCTGCGGCTACGCGTGCCTAAAGCCGTAGCTCCGCCTCAGCCGGGAACGCAAAGCGAGTGCACCACCCGCACCACGTGTCCAGTCCGCAGTCGCGGCTTTGCCTCTTCGCGCCCCGGCTGCGGCATTAAAAGTGCACCCACGCGCACGAGTCGCGGCTTTGCCTCTCTACCTAAATACTTGTATCATAATGAGTGCGAGGCTCAGTGCGCGTCGGTGTTGTCAGCACCCACTGAGCATGTACCCACCACCTAACCACTTAGCACCTCTCAGAGGCACATCCCACCTACTTGCTCATCCCGCTGACGCGGACGCGTGCGTCGTGAAGGAGAGCATCTTGCTTGGCGATCGACTCGGCCCACATCGACAGAGCCTCCTCAACTGGCTCCGCGGTTGCGGGTGCCGCCGCAGCGGGCTCGTACGGCATGGACGAGTGGTGCCTGCATGGAGCGCCGCAGGCTGAGATAAGCCGAGGTCACAGCCCAGGTACAAGCCGGGAGCAGGGGCGGGAGCCGAGATGAGCCGAGACATAAGCTTTGGGCAGGGGCGGCGCGCACAGGAAAATCCGCATCTTGCCGTCATCGTTCTTCTTGTAGCCGAAGGTGTACTCGACGCGGCCCTTGTCGCCAGTGGTCGCGTTCGTGAACAGGTAGTCGCCCATTGCGATAGCCGTGTTGCCGTTGCAATCGATCTGGTGGTTGCGGAATACCACCTCGGACCAGCCCTGTCCGCCCCCTCCCTATGGGAAGCCCCTCCCGGTCGTTGTGCCGTGCAGGTGAGCACTGCGGAGATGGCAGAGGTGTTCGCCAGGAGCTCTCGCCTTGCCGAGCGCGTCGCGGCTGCGGTGAGCGTGACACGATTGCGATAGGTGCTCGCCATCAACTCGCTCGCGCCGTCGAGATCATCAACGGGCGGCTCAAGGCCTTCATGCAGGCGACGGCGGACGGCGGCGTGCTCAAGTTCATCGTCAACGTCAGCGCGATGGAGGGCCGCTTCTACAAGGCGCGTTCTCGAGCATCCCCCCTCCGCGCGCCTGCCTCCTTCCTCTTGACCCCTCCCCGCTCCCCATCTCCGCAGTACAAGCAGCCAACGCACCCGCACACCAACATGGCCAAGGCGGCGCTCAACATGATGACCCGCACCAGCGCGGCCGACTACGCCAAGTGCGGCATCTACATGACCGCCGTAGACACGGGGTGATCTCGTACGCCTCAGACACACGCAGGAAGGCTTCCGGCGACCCGCCCTTGTCTGGATGCGTGGCGATGGCGCGGGCGCGATATGCACGCTTGAGGTCCCCGCCGTCGTACCCGGCTCGAAGATCCAGCTCCTTCAGCGCCTGCTGCCGCGACATGGCTGCGGCGGCGTGCACGAGAACACAGAGCAGGCCCGCGTGGAGATGGAGCGATTTCATGAGGCGACGCTGTGCGAAGCCCGAAGCGCGCAAGCGGCTGCGCCGGGCGAAGAAGGGCGCCAGCAGCGCAGCGGACTCGCGCACTGACTCGCGCCGGGCGAAAAAGTCGAAAAAAGTCCGGCGATTTCAGTGTATGTAGCTCTTACGTACATTCCCGTAGGAGGACTCTGCTGACAGAATTTCCCCACTTTTCTCCCAATGCAAAAGGTAAAAGAAAAATCTTTCGTGCGGTCGACCATTACACCATTTCCTTCATCGCGACCATTCCTTCAACTCGAAGAAGGATACCTGTACTCTGGGTAGCCGATCAACGAAATGGGCAGGTCCTCGCTGATGTCCTCGACTCCCGCGCAGTACTCCCGCCACGCGCTCTTAGCGGTCATCATCGGCCTCGGCATCAGCGCGATCGCCCAGGCACCCTTCTTCTCGCTGCAGGCATGGATCGGCAAGCGCTCGAACTGGGGCTTCCACTTTGACAACGGAATGGTAGCAGACGCGGGCTGGCAGAACGAGATTGCGATTTGGAACGTGGCCACCATCGCCATGTTCATTTGCGCGCTCCGCGCCTTCGAT